ATATTTTTTATATATATGTTTATGTATAATACAATTTGTTTATGTAATTTTGTAATTTCTATAAGTATTTACAATTTGTTTATGTATAATATATGAATAACATAAATAATTTGGGCTACTTAATTAGTCTAGTGGTAAAATTTAGGAGTTTGGAAAAAAGGTTAGTGGTTCAAATCCTGGCCACAACATATATATTTAGAGGTCTTTTATTGGGCCTTAGAGATCTTTGAATTCTATAATTATTTTTAATTTTTTTTTTTGTTTCTATAAAATCTATAATTATTTTATTTTTTTTATATTTGTAAATTACATAATTACAAATGATTAATAATATAATTTTTTTTATCAAAATTATGTTTATTTTTGGCTTTGTTTTCTTGAAATGTTTAAAAAAAGTAAAAAAATTTAAACACAAAGAAAACCGGGCCGGCCCGGAGCCCGGGTCCGGGCTTCGATTTTGCCCAGCCCGGGCTCGGTTTTGCCCGGGCCGGGCCGGGCAGAGCCGGACCGGATGGACATCCCTACTGGAGAGTGATCTTAATTCATCCATTAGAAGCGTTGAGATCTCAACCGTCCATCTTCTTTTTTTTTGCTCTCCTACTGTTGTGATCTCATTTCTCCAAATGAATGAATCTAAGACTTTCCAGCATACAAGTAGGGGTGGTCAACGATCGATTCTAATCGAATATATTAAGGTGTTCGTATTTGTATTTGTTTAAAATTATCAAATTCGAATGCGGACTTTAATATTCATATATCTAGTTTTTCGAATTCGAACTTGAATACTTGGTATTTGATAAATATTCATGAATATTCACTAATACTTATCGAATATCAAAGTATATTTATTCCGCTAAATAATTTGATTTTCAAATAGTATTAGAATTCTTAAATAAAAAGTATTCATTTATAATATATGATGTATATATATTTAAATCAAAATGTTAATTAGAAAATAGATTTAAGATTATTTAAGTCTTAAAATCAGTATATAAAACTTAAGTAGAAATGGTAAGTCAGTTAAAAATATGGCATCATATGTGTAATAATACAAATAATAAGTTGTGATCAAAATTCAAACTAATATTTAATAGACAAACGAATCGAATATACATCTGATTAAATTCCATTCGTTAATAAACTCGAATACTAAAAAATATTTATTTAGAGATAAATGAACTACCGAATCAAATATGATCGAATAATTATTCAAACAATTATCAAACTAATTGTTAATTATTTAGTTCATTTCCACCTCTACGTACAAGTAGAATGCAACATTAATGATATCTCACCTAACAAATGAACGGGTGAGTAGAGAACAAATGTTAAAATTATACAAGAATGATGACAAATGTGAGTGGAAGAGAGTAGGAACTAAACGTAAAACGCAACAATGATATCTCACCAACAACCATATTATAATATAACAAAAGCTCTTGTCATATAAATAAAAAGATTTATTACGTTACAAGACCTAAAGATATGAGGTAATTACACGGGTAATCTTAGGGGTTATTGGTTGGGATATTTTAGGGGATAATTGGATAGTTTTAGGGATTCTATTTCATAGTGTTATTCATTGGGACAATGGAACAAAAATAATATCTTTTTGTGTTATTGGTTTTTTAGAACACTAGTGAGACAATTACACCACTTGGGATAAAATTACCCTTCATATACAAAAAAATTATCCCAATAATAAAAATTTACATCATCCTCCATATTAGAACAATGTTGTTCCTCTTTAAAGACAATTGAGATAATTTTAAAATATTTTTGTATTACTTAACTAATACATGCAATTATATTATACATATATGACATGATATATAAAATAGAGTGGTGTTAGGGGCACACCCCCAACCACACCCTCCACCACACCTCCTCTCCCTCTATAGTGCATTGGGCCCCACATCAAATTTTTAAAAAAAAATTGATGTGAGGCCCAATGCACTATAGAGGGAGAGGAGGTGTGGTTGAGATTGTGGTTGGGGGTGTGCCCTAACATTTCTATATAAAATATAACATATATTAATATTTTAATGACATAATTTAATAACATATATTAATAATATTATGTAATAGATTATTATATAATATTAATTAGTAATTATAGTATAACGTATTTATTATAATATTATATAATATTTTAGTAACATATATTAATATTTTAATAACATAATTTAATAACATATATTAATAATATTATATAATATGATACTATATTATAATATATTAAATTAAATAATATATTATTAAAGTATTATATTATATATATTATATTAATTATTATATAATGTAGCATACTAATATAATGTTAATTAGTAATTATTGTATAACATATTATATTTTTTATAAATAATAAAATAATGTATTATATTAAAATATTATATTAAATATATTGATATTATATTATATTAATTATAATATATAGTATAGCATGCTAATATAATATAATATAATACAATATAATAATTAATAATAGTAATTTGTAAGTATAGTACAATATATTATATTTAAATATAAAGTAAAATAATATTTATATTATAATAATATACTAAATAATATACTAAACGAATTGGATAATTTAATTTAGAAATAATTAATAGATAAAATTATATTTTAATAAGGTGCCACATTATCAATTATCCCATATGAATTGTCAAATCAAAGGCTCAAATTATCTCATTATCCCACTTTACCCCACTCAAAATATCCTAAGGTACCATTTGGCAAAGGGTTAAGTGAGGGATTAAGGAGACTTAACCCCTTCTTAATCTGCCAAACACAACAAATCTATATGGTACCGTTTGGCAAAGGGTTAAGTGAGGGGTTAAGGAGACTTAACCCCTTCTTAACCTGTCAAACACAACAAATCTATATAAGGGTTAAAGTGAGTTAACCCTCCATAATTTGCCAAACATAAAAAATATAGAAGTGTTAAGTTAACCCCTCTAGAGGGGTTAAAATGAGTAAACCCCTCAAAATGAGGGGTTTACTAATACTCCTATTTAGATGGAATAAGAGTTAGCCCTTCTAATTATAAAGAAAATAGTCAAAATCATTGTTATTCTCAAACACTAAAACTGATCAAAAGGGCTAAAATAAAACTTATTTAACGGGTTAATAATTTAGTCCTTCGGAATATCAAATGGGCTAAGTACATTAATCATTCTCTTTAACCCCTCTTCATTAACCATTTGCCAAACAGGGCCTATAAGGATTAAAGTAAGTTAACCCTCCATAATTTGCCAAGCATAAAAAATATAGAAGGGTTAAGTTAACCCCTCTAGAGGGGTTAAAATGAGTTAACCCTTCAAAATGAGGGGTTTACTAATACTCATATTTAGATGGAATAAGAGTTAACCCTTCTAATTATAAAGAAATGAGGGGTTTACTAATACTCATATTTAGATGGAATAAGAGTTAACCCTTCTAATTATAAAGAAAATAGTCAAAATCATTGTTATTCCCAAACACTAAAACTGATCATAAGGGCTAAAATAAAACTTATTTAACGGGTTAATAATTTAGTCCTTTGGATTATCAAATGGGCTAAGTACATTAATCCTTCTCTTTAATTCATCTTTATTAACCATTTGCCAAACGGGGCCTAAAGGGATAAAATTGTTCCATTAGAATAATTTTCCCACTTGGCCCCAATTTGTCTCAACCAATAACCTCTTTAGAATTTGCAATATCTATACAAGACCGGCGGGTAGGTTCGCAATGGGCCAGGTCGGGTCTGACCCGATCGATCCATTTAACTTTGACCCAACTTAATCCTTCAAATATCCGAGTTAGCTGACCTGGCCCATTTATTAAACAAGTTAGCGACCCCGGCTTTTTATTAACAAACATCAAATTCAAAGCTCCAAACACTTTTAAGTACAGACTAATAATTAATTCTAACACATATAGGTTATATTATTATTTCAGACACGTATAGGTTGCACATATTGGTATGAGAGTCTAGGAGTGATCATCTAGGCCGTGGCAAACGGGTCGACCCGACCCGACCCGACCCATATAAAATTTGACCCGACCCGTATAAGTGTGACCCGACCCGACCCGTTTAATAAATGGGTCAATGCGATCGCCGACGCTCGCCGACTAGAGAATTGTGGGCTAAAAGAAAAATTAGAAAAGTAGAAAAGGGGAAAATGGAGAATAAGAGAAGGAGAGGGTTAAAAAAAATTACAGCGGGCTCGACGCTCGCCGTCTTCCTCGTCTCTCTCCTCGGCAAGCTCTTCTCCGCCACCGACGACGATGATGACGGAGATCGCAGACCGTCGCCGACGACAATTTTGACGGAGATCGCAGAGCGTCGACTGAGATCGCCGATGAGAAACGAGGTAACTATTCTCTCCGTTTGTTGCTCGTCGTCGCTCTTCGATCGACTCCACTTGTTCACCGTCACTCGTCGTCACCTCTCTCCAATCGCCGCCGCTCTCCGCCGCTTGAGCTTAGTGATGGAAAATCTAGGGCTTCTCTCCTTTTTTTTCTCTCAGCATCGCGTTTATGAAGAATGAGAGACGAAGGATTATCGGGTCTGCCAGCGGTTCACTTGGGTAAATTCGGGTTAGACGAAGGGTTAGACGGGTCAATCGGGTCAACCCACCTAATAAATGGGTAAATTCGGGTTGACCCATTTATGACCCGACCCACATAACTTGACCCATACCCAATATAAATGGGTCGGGTCGGGTCGGGTTGATGGGTCGGGTCATAAATTGCCACCCCTAATTATAAGCCAAGTTCCCGAACATTGCCCTCTATCCTGGTTACCCATAAATAACTTGGAAGAAGGGAAAGAAGAGACTGCTTCCACGCTGCAAACATACCGTGAACTCTTCAAGGTTATTTGTAACGTGGTGCATGAACTTATTCTTAGTTTAATACCCACTTGAAAGCCAATTATGATTTATTTCTAGCCAAACCCCAGTGCATTAATGCGTGTACGTGCTAGCTCTAGAAAGGCATGTAACTTCTTCATGTATCAAATAGACTAAAGAACTAGAGAATTTTCTGTAGTCAAAACATCAAAACTGTTTACCTTAGAATACAAAATAAGGGCATCATCCAACATTTTGTATTCTTTATACAAAACAAATAAGATGAAAATTCACAAGGAAAAGGGGAAAAAGAAGAACAACCTATTACTGTCACATTCACTCAGACCACACTTCACGAAGGAGTTTGTATCTTATGTTTGCGTGTTTGCTCTCCTTATCAGTTCTTTCTTCAACAAGGATACTCTTGTTGATGATGGATGTGAGGGGGGAATCTAAATCATCCAAATCCTCATCACTTGTATACCCTTTCCTCTGGATAATTGATGCGCTTCTATCAAGATTAGCTTTTCCACTTGTATCCGCTACCTTCTCTGTTACATTAGCTGCAGATGGGGGTGAGTATATCAGAGGAGAAGCCAAGCATGGGAAGCTGTTGATCAGATCATTGTCTTCTGATGGATGACGCTCAAGCAAGCTCTGTTGAAACATCAACGCTCATCAAATAAACAAAATAGTTTTTTCTTCTTTTTTTTTATTTTTTTTTAACACCATCAGATCTCTGTTTAAAAGGGAACTCAAAACTAATGCATATATTGTATTCTGCAATCTGCCGCATAGGAAACAAAAACCTTCAATGTAATGGGTGAAACATGTGAAGATTTTCACATTCTTGCGAATCCTGCAAATCCTCAACTTTCGATTCTTTTTTAGTATATTTTATAAAATATTATCTGGGCGTACTAAGTTTTCATTTGCGCTTCAGATATGATTGATACATTTAACCAGTAATTCATGGGCGTCTTTGCCTATACTGTTTCTAGGAGAACCTGAGAGGAAGGTCCTTGGTTGCGCATGGTTAAAGGACATTACTAAGAATGGTTTGTCTACCTATCTACCGACTAGGCATCAAGATTTCATGGTAGAGACCTTGCACAATGAAATAGAAGTGGTCTCAAAATGAATAAGGTATGACACCACTAGTGTTGAATCTGCTGATCTTTAAACTACAGCACAGATCATGAAAACTTGGTGAACTCGTTCTTGCGCAGTTTTCTCCACTCGTGAGCCATTTTTCATAACTGAACTACTTCGGTGAAAAAAGATAGTGATCTTTTTGAAGGAATGATGCTGATGAGGCAGCTGATAATCAAATTATAGCACATGTACTATTATAAAGCTATTTAATGAATGATATAGTCAATTAGGCTACAAAATGCAAAGAGTTCCTCACTGGTTGACGTCGACCTCTATGAGGATGTTTCTACAATCATGAATTTGGACATAAGCAATGTAGATTAAGTGGTTATAATTTTACTTATTACGGAAGTATGTAGACTAAGGAGAATGATAAGTAAAAGAAAAAATAAAATTTACATCCTATATAAAATTTAGGCTAAATTTCAGTAAAAACCCCTTAAGATTTGGACCATTATCGAATAAACCCTGATAACTTTCAAAATATCAGCAGACCGCCCTTAAGTTCAGGTGTTATTAGAAAACCCCCCCGTTAAGATTTTTTTCAGAAAACCCCACCAAAAGCATGAACCACAATTTTCATTGGCCAAAATATCCCCATTCGTAATTTTACCCACCCATGTGAAAAGCGTGGTTAACGCTGTTAGGGGAGTTTTCCAATAAAATTTCGAAGGGAGTTTTCTGTTAACCGCCAAGCTAAGGGCTGTTTTCTGATATTTTGAAAGTTAAGGGGGGTTATCTGACAATCGTCCCAATTTAAGGGATTTTTCTGAAATTTTGTGTAAATTTTACATCCTGAGTATAACATTCAATGCCCATGAAAACTACATAAGGATGAATGAAGCCCTTTAATGCCTAGCAGACACTCATATGAATCTGAGAACATAGTTGAGCACACAAAAATCATACCTCAGCACTCAGTTCCTCAAGAACAATGCCTGGGACAGGATCCGGGCAAAACTCATCAGGTGTGAAGTTGCAGAGTATCCTTGTTATCAAGGATAGACCAATTGAAGGACAGACCTACATAAACAGAATATCTCAGATAGAAAGAATAAGATAATTTGAATTCTCGGGAAGCTGCTTGATGCTAACCTCTTTTCTGATAGACCTTTCAATCAGCATATCTTTAGGGAGCATCAAAAGGTCGCTAAGTTCATTAAGAAGGGAGAATGATTTTGACCCAGCATCCCCTCCGCCTATTAGGTCGTCTCCATTGGGAGCTTTTTCGTCCCCCATACAATCTTCAGTCTCCATACCAAACAAATCTGTCAAACATCTGGACCAATTTCCAATCTGGAAATAGAAAATGAATTTCAATTAAATATATAAACCATAAGCATCTGAACAATTACAACAAAAAAGTCTTAGAAGACGCATTTTCAAAAGGTTTATTTATAGATTGACTGTGGGACTATCTGGAGGTTTGCTAGCTCAGATAGGTGTCTTATTTTTGTTAAGACATTAAAATATAAGAAAGCACTTATTCGAAAGGCTTTACTTCAAAGATATCTTATGGGACCAAAGTTGTAGAAAGATGGAAGGGAAGCGACGAAGCA